AGCTTGTACCCTCTTTAGTCGATCCTCTTTCGCCATGTTGTCTGTTCGGAACTTGAAATACGCCTGAAGAGTATCATTCTGAAGCGGCGATGTCTGCTGGGGCCCGAGAATCCGGTAGGCAAGCGATGCCCGCCGCAACTCTTCAAAAGTACCTTCTCCGCTCTCGGTCACCTCCTCCATTTCACCTCCCTCGTCATTTTGTGCGGATGGTTGCTGAAACTGTAGAGTGTTGCTTTTATTCAAGTTTAACGACTGACTGCTTTGCCGCTTCTTTAGATGCCGTGGGAGAAAGATTTCTGAATCATCGGTATCTTTGAACTGCGTGATATCTATAGCATGCGAGTCAAACACCTCCACCTGTTTCTGCTGTTGACGCTCCAAAGCTAATTTCGCGGCGATTTGAAAGGATTCCTGTCCGCTTATTTTACGAGACATTTTTCTTCCAGCGATAGCTGGTTTTCTCTTCCGTTCGAGAATCTCTTGATTTCTCTGTTTGTGTTTTTCGTCTATAGGCGGTTGGGGAAGATTTTTCTCCAAGTTGCCGAAGCACTTTGAACATTTTCCGTGCCTATGTTCACTCTCAGCACAACTTACTTCGGGTGCTTCCACGGACATCCCAGTGCGCAGCTAAACGACTTTAGTCTGTGAACAGTCTCATCGTAATCCCTCTGATAAAGCTTTCATAACCGGTCAACTCACGTAGTAAAATTGTTGAATGAAACTCATAACCTTGAGCAACAATTAATTGAGGCCGGCTTCATCGGCTATTAAACGTTCTCTTTTGTTCTTGAAAAAATGCGTGCGTCACACTTGCTTTAACATAATAATAGTTGACGAATTGCTTTGTCCATTTTCCCAAATTGATTACACGATTGTGCTTTTACTTGCTATCACTTTATTATTATTTCTTTTATTATCATTATCATTATTATTATTATTATTATTGTTATTATTATTGTTATTATTATTATTATTATTATTCTTTTTTTTCTGTTTCACGTGTGCAGTGTGGTATTGCTCTTCGACACAGAATTCTTACTTGTATGCTCGCCTTGCAAGCGGCGACAGCTTTTGCGTGAAAAGCCACGCTTAACCAGTCGTTGTTAACACATTATTATTATTATTTTTTCATTTCTTCATTCTGCAGTTCTAATCAGTGACTTTCATACGTTCATTAATATTTCGAGACTATCTTTTCCTGCGTTTTCTATACAGGGTAGTCAGAACTTTTGTATTAAATAATGCAATTATCCCCACGAAAAAATAAAAACAAAACAAAACAGGCTTTGGCAGTGTTCTTAGAAATATTCCGGCAAAATCCAAATTACTCTCGAAATAAAAAGTACAGATATAAATTTTAAATCCCATGTTCTTACCAATGTGCGCCGAGTAAATTTGTTGTTCATTTTGTTTTGTTTAAAAGTATATTTTCCAAAGTTGTTAATAACTGTGATTTTTACAGACCTAACTTATTTCTTTCGATTAAAATTATAGCAGCATATGACGTATAGACGCATGCAGCTTAGCAATTTCAATCAGTATTCAAAGGGACAGGTTCACGGTTCAGCGCATGCTCATTAAATTACTTCTTTCCAATTTAATTTAATTCTACTGGTTAATAATCCCACTCACATGTATCTCAGCGATCTCAGAGTGTATTTCAAAGTGACGTAGGATGGAGGAGTACTAAAATCACACAAAGCATTATATTGTGGATTATGGTAACTGAATTTATTCTTGACTGGAAGGTTTTATTCCGTGGCTGATGAATTTACAGCTATTTGCACCAAGTTGATCAAGTGACTGCCAGGGGAGTGTGCAGATTGGTTCTTTGAGGACATTATTACATGATTATGTTCCTTGCATAGACGATACAGTATGTCCCGGCAGAAAAACAGCATGTTGATTAATGAGTATGCGCTGAATCGTGAAACGTTCTCGTTAATTCAATTTCAATCATGTTTTATAATTAAAAGGAACATTAAGTCTCCTACTTTGATGTCGAGGATAAATGACCTTAATACCATTAGAGAATCGGGATTGTATGGAGGTAGCAATGACTTCATATCTGCTAAACTGGGAATACTTATTTGTATCTCTTATGAACTATAAGCGTGAGAAAAATATGCTGATGTTGACGAGTTCTCCAGCTTTAAGTACGCAAGGCAGGGTGGATCAAATTTCGGACAAAGTTTCACTTCTTATGGAAGGCATTGTGAATCAAGCGTCAGTTCTTAGGCAAAAGGAGGACAATGCACCAAAGACCGACCGCGTTTACGGATTTTTATTTTATTTTATTATTATTTTTTTTTATCTTGGTCCTTTCTGGCGAGACGTCGCTACAGATGAAACATACGGTACTGATCATAAAAAACAATTTTCAAACGGTTACACAAACGGTTTGAGCTCCTCACTGCCGGGTGCCTAGCTCTGAGAAGAGTACTTTGCTCTGTGGATCACTGTCGTATACCAAAAATTTCGCTCAACACTTAAAATGGAAAGTTTGCTGGCATGCCATTCGAAGAGGGTTTCTCTGCAATATCGCCTTAAGCAGTTAAGCGCTTTTTGGCTGCTGTCCGTATTATAGGATGTCCGTTTTAGAGGGGTGTCCCGTATTATATGGATGTCCCGAAGTTATAGCGGAGTGTCCCGTATTATAGGGATATCCGTTATAACGTAGTGTCCCGTATTATAGGGATGTCCATTACAGCGTAGTGTCCCGTATTGCAGGGATATCCGTTATAGCGGAGTGCCCCCTTATTGTAGAGATGTCCGTTATAGCGTAGTGCCCCGTATTGTAGGGATGTCCGTTATAGCGGAGTGTCGCGTATTATAGGGATATCTGTTATAGCGGAGTGTCCTGTAATATAGGGATATCCGTTTAATTATAGCTGGGTCATGTCGGCAAGGCGAGAGTTGACTTCTTGAGAGTTGTATTCTTTTGGACCTCAAAAGTCTGTGAATAACATGAAACTGTTAGCGCGCCGCGAACTGCGCGTTGATTAGACTAGACACACATAGCAAGGGAGTAAAAGTTTTGAATTAAGTTCAAATCATAATTTTCGTTTTTCAATATATTTTTTTTTCACTTGGTCTTCACGGAAATTTTTCTAGAGGTATCACTTTAATCAATTTTCTCTGACCGAGAGAAGATTTATTCGCAGTGCTCTTAAGTTATCACTTTAAACTTGAGAGTAAGACGATCGACAACGAAGTCAAGAGTTAACCATTTGACATTTTCCAGTCTTCAGTAAATTTTAAAAGCACTTCAGGCAGTGTGCGGGTAAGCGGTCAAAGCGCTCGAAAGTCACATTGCCCGAAGTCATGTCACCCTATTTGTGAGTTAAGTCACCAGAAATTAATGCTAGCTGACAGAGAGAGTTATTTCGCCCGCAAATTTGTTGTAGGGAGTATTTAATATATCTTGTTCCGTTCTTCAAGAGATAATGAGACGAAACAAGTCAAATGACAGCAACGCTGAAATGGTCAGATGCAGGGCACTAAGGAGTTGTCCTTCTGCTGCTGTCTGTTCATAGTCATGTTTAATCCACCGATGCTCACAGCTGCAAACTGGTCGATCATGACAAGTAGGATTCAACCTGGATGAACTGACATTAGCATGCTGAGGCCATAGTTATGGAAAAGATATTTCTAACTTCGGGAGACAAGTCTCTTATATACCGAATGATGGGAGTCGGAGGTGGAGCAAGTCCAGTGTCGTATGATTTGACAGCTTTTCTTTGAGGATTTTTCTTTTTCTGCGGAGTTATCTTAATCACTTCGGGAAGAATAAACGGCGGCGAGCGATTAGAACATCGCTTGTTAAATTCCGCAAAAGACTGAGCTTTCTCCAAACGTTGAAATGGAGTCCAGCTTAGATCAGTTTGCTCTCGATTGTATTTCCATGGAGTGGCTGGCAGCTTCTCAACCCTGTCTTCACAGCTTTTATCCTTTGCTTTAGTTAAAACTCGCCGTCTCAGTTTTATTCGATTAAAGGAAATGGTCTTCTCAAGGCGACGATCTAAATTCCTATTACACGAATAACAGAGAGATGGAAGTTTTTCATCCGCAGTAGATTGCTTGGTTTCCAGAAATTCTTGAGAGACGCAGCTTCTGAAATAAGGCGACAATTTACTCAGCAAATGGGTGTCGTGTTTCTTTCTTTGAAATAAAACAAGTTCGGCTTTGCTGTGTTGTTTCGAGCCTAAGATGGAGAGAAGCTCACTCTGGTTGCTACCACAAGGATTTAAAACTTTCGGGAAACCTCTTGTTTTGAGAGTGGTAAAAGGATTTTGTTCGTACCTGGATGAAACTTGTGCCATTTTGGCCTTTTTTGCGGGAAAGCAAATATAACAGTCCTTTCTTAAGTTGATATATTGCAGAATAATATTGTCATGTAAAAGCACTCAAAATTAAAATCTTCAATGCCCTTGTTAAGAGCTGTGGAAATCAATAATTCGAGCCAATGGTGTTATTTTAAAAACTCCATAGGGACTTTCAGATAATCGATTCGCGCTCTAGTTAATCACTTTGTTTATTGAGAAATGTACTTACAATACCAACTGTAGACAATGGCTTTTGAAGTCGGATATTATTAAAAGGTTTTTCATTAGTCTGAGCTAGGGCTCTGTATAGTGCTATGTTATTAAGAAAAGACATTATGACCTGTTTGTAATTTCGCATTGTTTGAGTCTTATTCCGCTTCACTTTATGTGCTGTTTTACTAATCAAAAACAAAGCGTTGTGATGTTGCATTCTCTGATATTCCTTTCAGTTCGTAGAACTGACTCCTACAACTATTGAAAATACACTACACTGGTACACCACAAAAGACATACTCCTTACGCTTCGACCACACTAATGCGTCTTCTTTTGAAAACGCATATTTCTCGAATGTTTTATGCCTCCCGTCCAGCACACTAATATGCTGGGCGTTTTCTACGAAAACCCATAGATTTGAAAATGCTCTCGATCCAAACGAAAACGCATACATGTCTCATTAGTTTAGACGATGGGAAATTCATCAAAATGAAAACGTCATGACCGAAAAAATTGCAGGCGAGCCGTGTTTGGAGCATGCGTATAGAGTTCAACTTACGTCACGTACAATTCTATCATTTTCGAACGTTTTAGTGCAGTCCAGTGGCGGATCCAGACCTACAGATAGGGGGAGGGGGGGGGGGGGTCATCCAGACCCCGAGATAACGGGTGGCCTGGCCTCAAAAAAAATTTTTCTCCACCCTTCGGGCCTTATTTTCGTCTCAAAATAAGGGGGGGTGGCGGGTTCCCCGGACCCCTCCGCTGGATCCGCCGCTGCAGTCAGTGGAAAACCCACCAAAGCGGTGGTGTGGACGCGCTCGATGCGTTTTCGATGACAATGAAAACGCAGTGTGGACAGTGCCTAAGTTAGGATGAATTAATATATAAATAGCTAGATAAATATCTTTAATCACACTACCCTAATCATTCCGACAAATCTTCAGGTTAGTTTCAAATCGTGGTGTTTACTGTTATACCCCTGATTTTTAAGCGGGTGCATATTTTTTGGAGAAACTTTTCCCTGATGTACA